CGACGTGTTCGGGGTATCATCCAAACCATTTGTGGGATAGTTTACCCATCCGGGATACAGTTCGTTTATGGTATTTGTTTATTAGGGCTAATGCAATGTTCGGGTTGATTTACGTTGCGTTGGAAACGCACCTAAGAAAGCATGTACCGTTAATATGACCGCATTTAATCTGAACACTTTTCAGTTCGACCTTGCTCGAACGTCATTCATTGTATAGAATGAAGAAAACCAAAGAGATATTAGGAAACAGATCGCAGAACATTACCAAAGAAGAACATAAGCTTATTATCGGAACGGTCTTTCGGAGCACTGATAGTGTTATATTATAAATAACCTGAATTCAGACGAGAGAAGAAGGAGAAGAAGAACAAGACGAGAAATATTGAAAAAAAAGTACACTAAGCAAAGGATTAGAATTACTAACACATTAAAATTTGCAGTTTGTTTGGTTCTCTGAAAACTATTTTTTAACTGTTGTCGGGTAATTTACAATTTTACATAAAAGGGTATTAGACAGACTTTTGTAGTTTAGCAAGACACACGTTTTTCTTTTAAAATATCGTTTCTTGCTCTATTTTAGAAGGAGACCAAATTTAGTTCTAAAAGTTCTTCGACAACAGTTTTTACGAAAAATTTGAAATAAAAAAGTTAGAGCTGAAAAACTGATTTTTTTGGGTGCACCCTAATGCAGTTCAGAAAAAAACTCTAAAATGAAAACGTAAGAGATACAAAACAACTTTTTTGAACAATGTGCTTGAAATTAACTCACCAACAACTTCTTTGAACAATGTGTGTCTTTATTTTTTTTTAAATACGAAAATTAGAATTTGGATTTCAAAAAATTAAAGGATCGCCCTAATGTTTGAAGGCACCAAAAGAAGGATAAGCTTCACTGAAGACACCAAACACCTAAATTCTAAAACAAAAGTACTATGGACTTTTGTCTTGCTAAATTCCAATCCTAGATCACTGTGCACTGGAAGGTTTCAAGATGGTGTCAGGCATCGATTTCCAGTCTCTATATACGTCACATCGATTCCAAAAATACTAATATTGAAGGGTATTTGACAGTAGTGCCGTTGTGCCATTCCATTCAAGTTTTAATTTTTTTTAACACTTTTTTTCATTTGAATAACATTTTTTAACGCATCATAACTTTGCTTTTCTTCTAACCCCCAATTTAGCTTTAGCAACGCATTGATGCGGGTGCTGTAACAATGCAAAGAGAAAATCGATGAAGAGAATCGATCATTCTCACGTCACTTTTCAAATAGACCAATCTCTCTTTCGTTAATAACTCGGCTCCAAAAACATGTTCAGCTGTTCTTATCGTTCAAAACGATTAATAATACTTTCTTTTAACAGACTATGTAGACACATTAACCCGAAATATGAAAGCAGCTAATAGTACGTTCAGACTACAGAGTTATAACATGTTATAGCGCTATCTTGATGGTGGTTTCTGGGTTGCAATTATTTGACAACTGTTATAAGATGTTATAACTCTCCAGTCTGGACAGCGTTTAAGTTATTAACGAAAGAGAGAGTCTATGAAGAGAATCGATCAATTCGAAACAGAGAATGCATAAGGGCCTGACTGCGATGATCGATTTTCTTCATCGATTTTCTCTTTAAGTTGCTACAGCTATGGGATGCAATTTTCTGAAAATTTTTCAATACAGAGCATATTTCAGAAATTTGAAGTATTTTAGGCATTTATATTGTTCACAATAACAATAGTAACTGTATCTCAGTATACAATATCCAAAATATGCGAAAAGCTTTCAAAAAAATATAAAAATCGATAACAATTTAATTTCATAAATTATTAAGCCTTTCGATAATCTTTCAATGGATAGGCCCTTTTTGTTAAGCCGTTGTGCTTGTCATCACAAATGGTACGCCCTTTGCTAAGCCTTTTCACAACGTCAAATAAAATCAAAACAAATCATCGGCCCTGCCTCAACCAGTACGGCCTAGCTTTGGTTTGAAAATTTTCAATCATCGGCCCTTCTACGTCCTAGACTTATCAATGAAATGAAATAAATGAATGGTTGGCCGTTTTAGCGTGCGGGCCTATTAATGAATCGAAAAATTTCGTTGATCGGCCGTTTCCAATATCGAGTTATTTTTAATGATTTTTCTCGATTATGCGGAACTTTCCTACACGATTAGTAGCTATCAAGCGGTGCTAAAGAATGGTATCAAAACCCGATTTGTTTATGTTTTGGACATAGGCCCATTTCAAATGTTACCTAAGAATTTGTTCAATGCAGAGTTGTAACAGGTTGTACACGCAGAAAAAAACATGGTTCAAACAAACAGATTATGTTTCATTTTAAACAAAGTTTTGAATAGAATATGGATCAATAAAATTGATGGATTAATTCAACAAAAAAATTGAGTTGGAATAATACTACTAACTTTATTGAATTGAACATCGATTTTTATTGATTTGAAAAAAATGTTTGCTTAAATCAAGTTGAAGCATTATTTAAAGTAATTATCGTTTTTAGTTGTATTGAAACGTTATTTCTATTATTTCAAAATCAAATTTATTAAAACTCTCAGGTCAGATTAGCTGTCATTATTAAAAAATAAACCAATATTTTCTCAATTATAATTTCAATCAATTTTCTAACTAATCCACTGTTTTTTTTTAATAAATTATTAATCAGTCAATCAGCTCATTGCATTGAAGCATTTGGTGCGTGAATGGGTGGAAAAACTTGTTTTCCTTGTGTGCCTTTCAATGCACCATGGTGTAGATTCTTACGTTATTGTTTGTGGTAATTTTGAACATTGTTTTGCTGCTAGTGGAGATTCTGCTGCAGCTGCTGGTGTTGACGCATTTAAGTGGAGCCTTAGACGGTGCCGAGGGGGGCGACACATCTAAATCTCAAAATTAGATGCTCAACATATCTCACACTTCGAACAATATTTTTTTCATTTGTCGCTTCTACTTGCATCGCGCATCATCTTTTTACAGGAAATCTTCAGAATCGTCATCAATCTTCTTTCTATCTACTCAGTGTGCGCGCAGCTAGCCACAGCAAAACACAATCTTTTCTGCATTGTAGCTAGAGTCATCCCCCTCGGACGGTGCAGCATACGCAATGGCAGAGGAGGAGTTCCTATAATGGTAGAATATTCTAAAATGCTTGTTTTGAACCATTCAATTTCCACATCTAAACCCACCTGGTTCTCCGGGTCACAACATCGAAGTTTCCGATATGCTCAGCCACGCCCAGATGTATGCACCCTCTTGAAGATGCGCTTCTGACAACTTGTCATTATTCATTTCTAAATGATTCCCACGCTGCTGAATTTATTCAGCATCTATCCAAGTTGGAATCCCCATCTTCACCTTCTCGTTGGTTCAACCGAACCAAATCCTCATGCAAATTGTGCGCTATCACACGTCAACACTGAAATTTCAAATGTTAGTTAAGGTTGATTGCTAGTTGAGAAACTTTATACTAAGACATAAAAAACTAAAACTTACTTGTTAAGATTAACAATCGAAGGCAGACTTTCCATACGGAGAACCTTTTTGACTAACAACGATGTCGACTGACAGTTTGAAACGTGCACTACACACACAACAATCAAAAACAGGTTTAAACAATTTTATTGGTTTGATTTAAATGGGCTTCTGTATTAATTTGAAACTTGTTTATGAACTGAAACAAATAGAAATTTTGCATTGAATAATAACAAAATATTTTTTTGGTTTACGCCTCAGTATTTTTTCTACGTGTAGCCAATACAAAAGCAACAGCAAACGCACCGAGAAACGTTAAATCTAGCGAGTTATTAACAAAAGGGAAAATCGACGAAGAGAATCGATCATCGCGTTTACGCCCATATGCATGCTCACTGTCGATATGCTCATTGTCGGATTGGTCTATTTGACCCGAGATTTCAACAAGGACCTTATGAACGCACACTGTCGAAATGATTAAATTTTAACCATTAATGGTTTGTTTTTTACTGCCGTGCTACATTGAGATTTGGTGTTTGTCCTGGATAAATTAAAATGAAATAAATTACAGTAGTACGGACAATTAAAATATACAAAAGTGAATTGAATTTTACTCAATTTTGTCAAAATGGCATACCGAAGACGAAAATAACTCAGAGAGTGAGTCATTTTCACTCAGTTTTGAGTCACTTTCCTCATTCGTACGGATAAATTTCTTTAAACATAGGTTACTCATGCGCTAAGTGACCTATAGGTATACGCTTTTAGATATTTCTCCATACGAATGAATAAAAGTCACTTTCTCTGAGTTAGTTTCGTTTTCAGTGTACTATAAAGTGAGTAAAATTTTCCGAGCTCTGAGCACGGCCAATGAGATAAACCCAAATTTGAGTTCAGTTTGCTCATAAATCTCAAAAAGTGCAAGAAATCAGCAATGATTAAATTTGCCTCATGAGGAAAATTGATGAACATTTTATTCAGTCTAGGAGTAGTACCAATATACTGAGAGAATCCAATATTTGTTTTTCTCATATTCAGGATTTTTTTCCTGTATAAACCAGGACATGAGGAAAATGTACTCATCGCTGAGTTCCTGCACTTTTTTGCGATTGACGAGCACACTGAACTCAAACTCCTAGACAGAGTAACATTTTCGTGAAATTTCCTCATTTTCTGGCAGATTTTTTAGGTTTTCCACAGAAAAACTGCTTTAATGTCGACATCAGGGAAACAGGGACGGGATTAAAAGTAAATCTGAGTTGGAACTTACCGCCATAAATGAAACCACTCTCGATTTTCTTCATATTCGAGAAGTTCTTCCTGGAAAATCTCGGAAAATTCAGCTCACTTTTGAGCAAATCCAATTTTTGGCAAATTTGAGTCGAATTCAACTTACTTTTGAGGTGATTTTATCGTCCGTGCATGTTTTATAGCACCCCAATGGCGCGCAATCAGCTGTCAAAATTTTGTTCGTTCCTTCGGTTGATCCGCGCGAGCGTGCGCAGTTGTTTGTAAACTAATCGCGCGCTGTTTAGTTATTGTTAAAAAAAAACCGCATCGTTTGCATGCAATTAATTACAATCCGGAATGAACCGTCGCAAATCAACTCACGTCTCTAAGTTGGACGACAATCCGGTCTTGATAAGTTCCGGCGATGAGTACAGTGCCTCCTCGCGATCGTCCCGCAGCAGCAGTAGGACAAAAAGTTCGGTATCGTCCGGTAAGCAACAACCGGAAATGATAGTGCCCTCCGAACCGGAAGAACTGAATGAAGAGAAGGAAGCAGATAAATCGGTCCGGGAAGCTCTACGGCGGCGTTCGACGCGACATCGGTCGCCAAACAAGCGGTACACCAAGGATTTTGTCGTTCAAGGTACGCCCAAGAAGAGAGGTCGTCACATACCAACCGACGATTCGGAAGACGATGATGACGATCGAGCGGGGGAAGGAACTTTGGATTCCGAGGAAGAGAGTCAACTGGATGAGCTAGTAGGTAAGGTTAAGGCGACAACCCTGTTCGAGGATCGTATGGACGTGGAAGGGCAGAAGATTTACGGTTTCAAGACACCGAAGAAGAGGAGCTCAATGAGCGTTCTGGTGTCGAGTTTGCAGCACCGGGTGACTCCTTCTGCTAGAACACCCAGCAGGAAAAGTGCCAGTAAGCTGGTCGGAACACCAAAGACCCCTAAAACACCAAAAACGGCGGACAAGAGGAAGAGCAAGCTGGATTTGGCCAAAACTCCCCACCGGGTGAGAAGCAAGCTGAAAAAGAGTGAGTTGGGTGGTTTTTTCAGGCGAAGGATTTCTTTTTGATTTAATTTTTCCTTTTAGATATAACAAAAATGGTTCAGAACGATTCCGGGTCGGACTTTTCAGCAAGTGAAAGTGACTTTGTCCCTTCATCGGAAGAAGAGGAAGACGATGATGAGGATGACGACGACGACGACGACACTGAGGAAGAGGAAGAAGAAAAACCGAAACGTCCCGTCATTCGCAATCAGTTAGCTTCGATCAGTATTGCTCCGGGAAAAGCTTCTGCCTCTTCGACGGCTGCAACGCGGGTTAGCAGTCGGATCCGAAGAGGCAAGAAGGCGGACCTGAACTATGTTCTGCAGAGTAACGAGTATTTCTCGTCGCACAGCTCGTCCAAAGTCGTCACATCGGATTCCACTTTGGATCGCTTGAATACTCCTCGTTTGCCACACGACCACCTGTTTCGTTTGCTGAAGGAACTTCGCGGTTCGACGGAACATCAGAAAGCCATTCAAGAACTGCACGACGAGTACGAAGGCTACTTTACCAAGTGGCTCTTCCTGATGAATGAAGGTTACAACATTCTGCTATACGGGTTGGGTTCCAAGCGAAATCTCCTGCAGGCCTTCCATCGGAAAGTGCTTGCCAACCAACCGGTGATCGTGGTCAACGGATTCTTCCCGACACTGACCGTCAAGGACATTCTCGAGGCGATCACCTGTGACGTTCTCGATCTCAGCGTCCACAGTGCCAATTTCCACGAACTAGTGGACATAATCGAAGAGGAGTTCAGCTACCTCCCAGACACGCACCTCTTCCTGATCGTTCACAATCTAGACGGGACCATGCTCCGAAACAGCAAAGCCCAAAACATCCTAGCTCGTTTGGCGAAAATCGATAATATCCACTTGCTGGCCTCAATCGATCACATCAACACCCCACTGAGTAAGTTTCCTATCGGCACCGGAAAAAAAAGTCCAGAAAACTAATCGACACTTTAACGATACCATTTCACAGTCTGGGACTCGTCCAAGCTGAGCTACTACAACTTCTCATGGTGGGACGTAACGACGATGTTGCCCTACTCGGACGAAACCGCTTTCGAGAATTCGCTGCTGGTGCAGAACTCCGGCGCCCTGGCTCTGTCCTCGATGAAGAACGTATTCCAATCGCTGACGTCCAACTCGCGGGGCATCTTTCTGGCCATCGTGCGACACCAATTGGTCAACAAGGGCAACCCGCACTATCCGGGAATGCCGTTCAAGGAACTGTATTCCAACTGCCGGGAGGCGTTCCTCGTCAGCACGGATCTGGCCCTGAGGGCCCAGCTGACCGAGTTTACCGATCACAAACTGGTCAAGGTGAAGCGGACCGTCGACGGGGCGGAGAATCTGCTGATTCCGATCGGAGCCGGGCTTTTGCAGCAGTTTGTCGAAGAGAATGAAGACAAGTAAGAGGGTAAGTTATTTAATTATTTTTCTAAGTAGATTTTAAGTCAATAAATTATTGTGACAGTATGGGAAAGTAGGCTATCTTAGCAGGAAAGAACGATCCACCATCTATAATAGACGACCGTGAATCAGTGCACGCGGTAGCTAACCGCACCTTTTCCCTTGCTCTTATTCCTCATTCTGCATGCGAGTAAACGAGAGCCAAAACAAACCTGGCAGAACTGCCAGAGTTTTTGGGTGAGAAATAGATACAGGAAAATTTAGGTCAGGTTCCGTGCACTGATCTGCTTAGCACAATAATTGTCAATCTTTGGGGCTTTGAGCAGCAATGCTTTGAGTGAGATATGATCGTAGTTAAATAATCTGCTTGGAGAGCTTTGAAACTAAATGATGCATTTGTAAAAATGGAGGGATACCGAATGGATTCCTCTCGATTTCCGGTTCGTTAGGAAACTCCTGCTGTCCAGGACATTGGAAGCCACATGGTGTATGTTTATCTCTGCCCGGTTGAGTAGATAAGGTAGTCATGCTACCTACCATCGGCATCTACATCAGCAACACGAACAACATTGTCTTGCAATTGAGATCAGATGATACACTGCTTAGACAGTATCATCGGTTACGAACTGCAACCGGGGACATTGTATAACCGGGGCAGTGGGGGTCTAAATCCTCTCAAAATCGGTCTACGAACCTTATGAACAGCCGCGAATAAAAAATAAAAAAATAAACTGGCTCTGTAAAGCTTATTCGATTGAGCCTGTACAAATACAGCAATCTACAAAAAAAACTATGCAAGATGAATGGGCACCGGATGAGTTCCTGTTCCAGGCCTATGCTGGTTACTAAGCAAAGTGAGAATGATTATTAATATACGGAGCGACTCAACATCTGGCTTCGCTTTCAACCAGCATTCGGTAGGAGTCACGTGTTCATCTAGTGCACTAGTGTGGTTCAGCAAATACCTACCCTGCGGCACCGCCTCCGACCACTAGCTTTTCGGCATATTGGAGTCCATTGGCATCTTCACCACTTTTTCGATCAACGTCCTGTTGAAGTGTTCCGCAATGCCACTGGATTCCCTTGTGCTTGCAGTACTTCCGTTGCTCGTCCGAACAGTATTCCCGATCCTGGTCCACGGTTAACTTGCTGATTTTCTTCTCCCAGATGCCCCCCCCCCCTTATTCTGCGAGTCACGTGACTCTCTGTCACCGGTGAGGTGACAATTGTCACCTCACCGGTGAGAGAGAGTCACGTGACTCGCAGAATAGGGGGGGGCCATCGTTTCGTACTCCTTGCAGCGTGCAATTCCTTCGAAGTCTTCTTTATTGGCTGTATGACGGCGAAATGGCTGAAGTCGTCGATAATCAATTGGCTGGAGGATCAATTGACCCACACACGTCGGAGTGCACCCTTTTCCACGGCCGCGTTGCTCGTCCTCGGGTACCATCGAATGCTTCTCTGCATTGCTTTCCAAGCACGCACGTGTCGCAGAAACCGTTACATTTTGGCTTCGGTTCAAGCCCTGTCACCCATGTCATGCCTCACCAGGGCATCCATGGCTTGCTGACTTGCGTATGACAGACGACGGTGCAAGTACAGGAACCTAGGCAGGCACTCAGCGGTGAGTAAATTTGTTTTTCCAGGAACAAATTCCCGAAGATGAGAAAAGGTAAGATTGGATTCACTATTGGTACTACTCCTACACTGAGTAAAATTTTCATCAAATTTCCTCATTTTCCGGCAAATTTTTGAGGTTTTCCACAGAAAAACATGAGCCAAATTTACTCGTTTTACCAAATTTACAAATTTGGGTCGTTCTCATCGTTGAGTTACTTCTGCTTCTTGCTTCTACCACCAACGAAAGAACAGATTTTTTCCTCAATCGAGTAATCCACTCGATCGGCGCGCTTCGATTCTTCGCCTATACCAACCGTTGTTTGACGGTATCCAAGGTGAGCTCTTTTTCGACGATGTTTTCCAGCGCAATCACGAGGTGGTTGTAGCTGTCTGGAAGCGTCAGGAACAGCTGGGAAACCAGGTCGTTTTCCTCTAGATTTGCTCCTGCTGATTTCAGCTGTCGGAGGACACGGCGAATGAGAGCGACCCTAATTTGAGTTTAGTTCACTCATAATCGCCAAAAGACCATGGAAAACCTCCAAAATCTGCCGGAAAATGAGGAAAGTTCAAGCTGAACAATGCATTAGGTCAGATGCAGATTCTCTTCGTCGACTTTTTCTTTGCATTCTCACGGCCATGGACATGACCAGCTATTTTTAGCACACAGATCGATGAAAGAAGCTATTATCTAGCTTCCAATAGGAGACAAACACAACATGAAACGGTTCTGTAGCCAAGTCATTGTGGAAAGAGAAAGTTGATGAAGAGAATCGATCAATGTTACTTAGGACCTAATGCATTGTTCAGCTTGAATTGTTTTCGGCTGAACTCTTCATTTCGAAGGAAAGACCTGTTACGATAGGCCTAGAAGTGCCAGTAGCACAAGCTACGGACACAGCCTGGCGACGTGAATGTGCTACCGTACACAGGTATCCACAAGCTACCGAAAATGCCACCTTCAAGAAACGTTTATACGCATATCCCAGCTGCATTCAAAGAATTGACATTAATTAATTCTTGCTGATAGCTAGGCGTTATAGAAATGAAGCGTTGAACACGTTTTTATGAGAGAAACAAAACTCGAGTTCATTTCAGAGCTTCGAAAATGTAGAGCCCTGATTACTGGACCTACATGGAGCGACACATTTTTCCACGATTGGCTTAACTAGCGCCTTCTTCCATACTGAGCTCGATGAAAAATCAAGGCACCTGACGAATTTCTTCGCTGGTTATGCACTTTATAGATGCTGTCGGTTGCCCTTCGGATTAACAAATGAGGTTATGTAAACCATAATAATTTCAAAATGTGATGTAAACTATCTTGACGACATCTTGGTATTTGGACAAACACAGGAAGAATACGATCAAAATCTACAGAAAACTTGAAGACCATAACGTCAGACTAAATAAAGAAAAATGCTCTTTTAGACAGCAGGAAGTGAACTTCTTGGGCTTTAAGCTGTCATCTAACTTTGGAGAACGAGGTTAACCACCTGAAGGGTGAGGCGTGGAATATCATAAAGACCTTGGGATATTTCTGTCGCGATGATAAAACCAAAACGGAGTTATTCGTGGATGCCTCACCACATGGACTAGGAGCCATGCTAGTTCAGTATGATCGAAGACATCATATCAAGAAGACTGGCAACTTTGCCAGAATCCAAGCGACAGATACAATACCGCGGCGCTTGAGTGAAGGTGGAAGCAACGCATAGAAAAATAAGCAAATACATACAAAAACCACAGACAAACAGACGTAACTCTTTGAAAAAGTTTTACTTGAAAACATAGTATCTCAAAACATAGGACCTCAGTAACGACATCTCTCGGGCTTCTCGCGGAAAACAAGCTTGCTCGCTAACTCGCAAACAATATTGCATAAAAGTTCTATAGAATGTATAGAAACGTCAAAGTGATCCGATACCAGCGCTGCGGCGAGTAGTTCGCGGAACTGAAAATATTCAAATCAACCGTTAAATGCGTGAACGAAGATACACAATGAAGTGTTACGTCTGTTTGTCTGTGCAAAAACCTTTCTTCTGAGGATGTAATCTTTGCTAACAAATTCGTTCGAAGCATTTACCTTTGAGCGGCAGATGAGGCGATTGTACCTGTCTCATAGCGTTCGTATGAGAAAATGAAAGAGTTGTCAGTCTTCTTGGTTTGTCTTGGTATTCGGTATTGTAGTGATTCCCACTAACTGGCAACACAGTAATGTATGTACGTCATAAACTTTGAATTGGAGAAAGATAATAAAAAGTTACTTCCTCGTGTACGCGTGTATTTTAATTCGACTCCTAACATTTTGGCGACGATCGGAAAAAACCGGGATTAAATTCGCTGAGGAAGGCTCTATACTGCCGCTCTTCGCATGTCGGTCCCATAGTCGTTTTTGTCAAAACTGAGTTTTTCAATGCAAATGGTAGCAAACTACCCATATTTTCATAATACTGGATGAACTTATCAACTTTGTTCTGACAAAGTTTGGAAAGACAGTCACATTGGTTGTCCCATCACATAAGAAGCAATCGTACGAAGCAAACTTAAAACGCGATTTTCTCGGCTTGCCGATTTTCGCTATGGGACGGACATGCGAAGAGCGGCAGTATACGTAATGGAGCAATGATTAAATTCGGTAAACGTGAGTTTACGATTCGGAATAGTGGTTTTACGTGAGAAATAAACCAAAAATAATATTTGGGGTATAACCTCAAATTGACGCCTTTGTGACAAGGACGGTAGACGAGCTGAAAGCAAGACGGAAAACGCATCCGACACTCGGGGTTTTTTGACGAAGGGAAAGATTGCTGTGAAGAGAAGCCAAAACAAACGTGAAAATAAACAGTGTCTCGCCATAGTTGCGTAAAAGAAGATGGAGAACAGCAAATCTACTTTGTTACCTTTTGACACCAATAACACCGCATCGATTGAAACACGCTGGATGAAATGGAAGAGATCTCTGGAGTTGTTCCTAGAGGTGAATATTGTTGCTCTCCCATCCAGGAAGAAGTCGTATCTGCTGCATTTCAGTGGAACACAGATACAGGACATTTTTTTCGATACACCTGGACACGATGCACCCCCGCCAGCGGACTCGGACGTTTACAAGGAGGCGATAAGATTACTGGATGCTCATTTTGCACCATTCTCCAATGTTCCTTACGATCGGTACGTGTTCCGGAAAATGAAGCAAACTGAAGATGAATCGGTGGAGAAATTCGTCGCCCGTCTTCGAGAGCAAGGGCGCCTGTGCGAGTACGGGAATGCACTCGATATGCGAGTTGCAGAACAAGTGTTTGACAACAGCCGATCGGACGAGCTGCGTGAAGTGATTATTAAGAAGAAGTTGATGAATGTGGAAGAAATCGTGCAGGAGGCACGGATCTTGGAAACAGTGAATCGTAATAAGGAGGATATGAAGAGAAATTCGGCTCCTATGGGCCAAAGCTGTGTGAACCAAATCAAAAAGGGTGCGAAGAAAGAAAAGTGTTTCCGATGCGGAAATGTTGGACATTTTGCCAACGATAAAAGTTGTCCCGCGAAAAACAAAGTGTGTGATAGCTGTAAGCTAGTGGGACATTTCCGGAAAATGTGCAAAACCAAGCCGGAGAACCGAAAATCGAAGGATAAAAGAAGCAAGAAGAAGGTGTGGCAAGTTCAAGATTCCGAAGACGAGAGCAATGTCCCAGGCGGCAGCGAAGTCAGCAGCGAAGATAGTGACGACGACGTTCAGCACATTTACGCTACCGGAAATAAACACGATCTGGTGACATATTACACAGGTGGTGTAAAATTGGATTGGATTGTCGACACCGGCGCTCACGTTAACGTCATCAGCCGAACTACATGGCGTCATCTGAAACAACACGGATGTAAATTTACCGACGTCCAGAAATCACGGAAATTTCTGCGGGTCTACGGTAACGGTAAACTAACAGTTCACAAGACTTTCAAAACGGAAATTACCACCCGTTCGAAGCGTGTATTTCACGACGTGTATGTTGTGGATAACGAAACAGGGGCTAATTTGCTGTGCAAGAGTACATCGTTGGAGCTGGGAATTGGCAGCAAGGCGAGTTCTGCGTAACGGAATCTAGTCTGACCCTATCCGGGTAGTCGCTAGTGTGAGACAAGGATGTATACTATCACCGCTACTGATCCTCATTGTAATCGACGAGATCATGGTTGGTGCAATTGACCGTGTACCGAACCGTGGGCTGTATGGAGCATCTCAACGACTTCGATTTGGGTGATGATGTTGCTCTACTAGCACAACGGCGCTCTGATATGCAGAGTAGCCTCAATGATCTAACCGAACACTTCTCTGCAGCGGGTCTCACCATCAACGTCAACAACGGGCAATCCTTCCAATTTTGCTACAGTAGTGGGGCAAGCAGTGGAGAAGGTCGAAAATTTCCAAGATCTTGGCAGCCAAATAGCGTCGGACGGTGGGACCAAGAGCGACATAGGTGTACGAATCAAGAAGGCTAGGACTGCCTTTGTGAGTTTACGAAACGTATGGAGATCAAATCAGATAAGTCAACGCACCAACATCCGAATTTTCAACTCGAACGTGAAATCTGTGTTGTTATACGCCAGCGAGACGTGGTGTGTATCAGCGGAGAACACTCAAAAGCTGCAGGTCTTCATCAACCGATGCCTGCGGTATATAATTCGTGCCTGGTGGCCTCACAACTGAATCTCGAATGCCGAGCTCCATCGTCGATGTCATCAGAAGCCGATAGCAATAGAAATTCGAGAGCGAAAGTGGAGGTGGGTCGGCCACACACTTCGACGGGGCGGAAACGATATCTGCAAGCAAGCGCTTGCGATTGGAATCCGGCAAGAGCGTCAACAAGGAAATAAAGCAAGTCGATAGGAATCTGACCTGGGCGCAGGTCAAGGCAAAAGCGAGCAGCCGCCCAGGATGGAAGTCTTTCACGTTGGCCCTTTGCACCTCCGGTGGTGTACAGGACCCTTAAGTATGATGAGTAATGCTGACCTATTAGGGTGTTCAACATAGATGAGGCTGACGTGCTGTATGTTGGAACGAGGGTGACGCGCTTGGCCGATCAGTAGCGGTGCAGCTCTTTCTTCGGAGCGGGCCGCCTTTCGTTGTGTACTGGAGATTAATGTTCAACGCCACACGCCGACAGCACTGCTGCTACTGCTACTGATGACAACCGACTGGACACCACCACACATGATTGAATGAGCAACGTAGGGCGCGACCGGATGGAATTCGATTTTGAAATCTGTGTTAGGAAAAGCGCTCTTTTCAGGCAATCGGTGATAATTTTGCACTCCCCATATGTTTCCGAAAGACGTAATCCTACGTCAAAAGGCATTCTTTCATGTTCTAGTTTGCTCTGCAAACAAAAAATAACACGTTGGCGTAACTGTTTGCTTCAATTAAGTAGATATCGTTATATTTTGTTTTGCAAGTTTATCAATCTTTTGTTTCTTTTCTCTAATAACACATGTAGCTGTTCGATTCCAGGAATCGCTTCAACATTCTTCCTTAACGCTTGTTTTGTTCCATTTGCCAGTTTTATGCTTTTGTGTTCGGATCCAAATACCACCACAGTCGATTGGCTGCTATAGGTCAGAAGTTTGTCGTTTGTTAATGTTTTAAGTGTTTGTTTTTTCCTCTTTTTTTTTCTTCTAAAAACAACTATTATTGTAAGATATATTATCGTTTAATAATCCGTATATAATGATGATAATAATAACCGTAGTATAGGCATTAGCGGGTTCTTGCGCTTTTTGTGTTATGTTCTGTTTTGTTTTCTAATGAGTAGTCTCTGTTGTTAAGTGTGTGTGTGTGTGTTTGTGTGGGTCTGTGTTGTGATCTTTTCGGTTTTATGTTTTTATCTCAACGCTATTGTTGATTTGTTATTCATGGGGAGGGATACAACAATGCTATTATCTTCATAGGTATGCACTGCATCTGCTTTTGATGTTTGTTAATAATCAATCGATTCCTAATATAGAAATAGATATTATTTTGTTTTATTAGAGTTGTTTACCACTGATATAGAATTTCAAAACCGAGTAATATGTCATATTTTTAGTTGTTTTCGCTTCGCTGGTGACGTGCTTCTTCCACATCCTAACTGAACTACCGAAGTAATAAGCATTCTGTTGTGCTTATTCCCTATACATGACTGATATATGGCAAATATTAAGCTTGCAAACTTCGCAACAGCCGAATGTGAGCCCTATACAGCTAACAGGCGAAATTTTGAGCTTATACCAGTGTCGAGCGACACGAAAATCTAAGTTTTTCCGGCTAGCAAGTTTTAAAATAAATTGAGAGGAAATAGCGACTAGGGGAGGGCGGGAATCAGGTACAAAACGATGCAGATCGATTTCTAAACATAAAATTGAACTAAATTTTGAACAATGCCGAACGATCGCGATCGCAGATAATCAACGACTTTCCTCTTGTGTTCCGAGGACAAGTGCGATATCCGGTGCAATCTCAACTAACTTTATAGGAGAGGTGGGTGGGGTTCATCTATAATATGGCTTCTCTTTTTCCTTACAGTACCTCGATCGAGTTCGACGTTCTGGGTTCTCTACACACTAAACTAACTAACGTTGTACACAAATGAGTGATGGATGACGAATGATAATCGAAAAGGTATAGGAGTCAGCCTTGCTAGCACAGAAAATTTTGTAAAGGTGTTTATTTTGTGTTAACTAATCTTGTATACACCAACGTTGCCTGAACATAGAAAAATCGATATATAAAGTGGTTTGAATAAATAAATAAGAAACAACAATCATTCACGTGGTAGGTAGACAGATTTGAATGGGCAAAATATAGGCATTTAGAAAAATACGATACATCAATGTTGCTGTTCTGTCCCGCTGGTTTTTGCACGGGACACAGTCCGGGAGGAGAGGGGGACAGTTACACACGTTAGTTCTATTGTTGCCAGTTAGTGAAGCACGCCACCAAGCGAACGAACGGGGCCTCTTCTAATGGTGTGCCTGGCGGCTCTGGGCTACTACCGATGACCTGCTAGCTCAGAAAAAAAAACTATCACACACACACACTTTACTCTCCACCAGGTCCGGCCACCATAGCTCCACTTTCCATATGGACTAAATAGACGAAAATACAATTACTGCTGCGGTTGTTGTTGCTGCTACCATTACGGGTATCGCCATAGAGTTGATAGTAGTATAGATAATGGTGGTAATGTTGGCGTCGTGATTGCTGCTGCTGCTGCTGCTGACACAAATTGCCGTGCTGCTGCGGCGGATGCTGCTCCTGGTGCGCTTGCGGTTGCTGCGGGATGCGGCGGCGGCGGGCTACTGCTGCAGTGCTGAGCAACTAGATGTCATACAGATCGTACAATTCGGACATCTCCGAGTCGTCGCTGTCGGAGAATATCGAGGACATGAAATCGTCCAGCAGGCGCCCTCGCTGGTGCAGCACCTCGCGGAAGAAGTCCTGCGAATGATGAAAGAAGAACGTATTGACTAACGTTGCTCGGTATGGCTTTCTCTGTATAAAATGCTGCTATTTCCGGCCACGAATCGTACACGGTAAACTAGAAGATGGCATCTAGCAACGTTGCATGAATCACGATTGGTAGCAAGTATATACCGAAATGGACACGGCAGGCTACGGTGGGCTGGACAGATAGCACTGATTCCGCAAGAACGGCAAGCGAAAAGAATATTCACCAGAGAACCCGGACGAAACCATCGACTTCGGGGCCTAATGGGGTGTTTACACTTATGCTAGATAACTAGTTTACACTTGTGCTATAGTGTACTAAAACTGTACTAAAAAGTAGTAAGCATAATATAAACACTAGACTGATGCAAAATTTGAAATTTTCGCTCCACAGTGCTCAAACGGTTTCAAATCAGGTCCTGATTAGCCTCCCAAAATTTAAACTCATTTGGTAAGAAACTGGCTTGGCACAAACTATTCGAAGTTTATATGGAAATTACTATGTAAAAACCAAACTTTTTGTTCATTGTCTACTACCCATTTTCCATATTGCTTTTTCGAAAAGTTCTATAACTATTCTTATGGGAATTTTTCTAAGCTACAACTTTGTAAAATATCGTTTTTCAGCCAAATGTCAAATTAAATAGTTATTAATTGTTTAAGAGATTGATAATCTTATGGCATGATCAAGCAGCTGTTCTGTAGGCAACACTGTATTCTGCAGTATGACATAGTAGCCATGATATTTGTGCTCTATTCTTCGCACGAGAAACACCAATGTTGCCTGCTGAACAGTTGAATGAGCATAATCATAAGACATCAGTGATTGTATCATTAATAACTTTTGTTCCTTACATTTGATTGAAAAGTGGTTTTATACCAAGTTGTAGCTGAGAAGATTTGCTATAATCACTGCTATCATTTTTAAAAGCATACTGATGTGCTGAATTGTTAGATACAAATGAACAAAAACATAAGTTTTCCCATAGTAATTCCCATATAAACTTAAAATGGTTTGTGCCAAGTCAGTTTCTTACTAAAGTAGTTCAAATTTTGGGAGGCTAATCAGGACCCAATTTGGAACCGTTTAAGCACTGTGGAGCGAAAATTTCAAATTTTGCATCAGTCTAATAAACACGGCGTCAGTGTCTACCAGCATGAGATTTCAGGAACAAATTAAATTCGTGCTAGTTGGTTAAACTAAGTTTAAACAGCCCAATAGCGAAGTGATAATGATCATCTGCCTCTATGGTACACTAACAACGCCCAGCCGATCCGCTAGTTTCTCCTTCAACAGCGTGGCGAAAGCGCACTTGTCACTTTCCACCACACTTTAGATTAGATGTACCATAACCGTTCCTTTTTTCCAAGAATGATCCTTCCATCTGCAAAAGCTCTCTACTCTACGGCTGTTATACTTTTCAAACAACACTACTTAAGAAGAAGGGTAAAACCTTGTGCCAAAAGGCTAACAAAATCGTACGTACATGCAGATGGCTGATCCTCAAGCGACTGTCCGTCCGAGAAGGTCCACCCACGTCGACCAGCTGCCCATTCGGAAGGGCATGCTTGTAGAAGCACTTGTTACCGAACGGGCACTTGCCCGAACCCTGCTTGAAGTGCTTGCAGTGGGTCGTGTTGCAGGCCTTCTTGTAATCGTTGATCAGCTTGTCCTTCTCCTCACGGCTCTCCACCCACACAATGCTGGGACACACGAAATCCGACGAGATGCGACACGTTGGGCATCCCCTGCAAAGGTAAGAAAAAATACTACTTAGATTCTTTTTCAGACTCCCGCTTCAACCCGCACCGTTTGATTTTGTTCTCGAAGTTCTTCGCCTGTCGCCACGTCCGGATACACTCCAGGCAGAAGATGTGATTACAATTAGGAAGAATGCCAAATCGCTGTTCACGGCTCGGCTTCTCCAGAATCACCTCCAGACAGATGCCGCAGATTTTATCTTTGGACCGCTGTATGGCAAACGAGTGCTCCATGTCCAGCTCGTGCTGCTTGATGCACTCGACATTGTGCTGCCGCTGTTGTTCCTTGTCCAACGGGTTCATACAAAACTTGCCACACAACTCACACAGTTCCCCGTGGGCATAGGGACACGTATCCAACATACAAACACCACTGTTCTCATAATACGGACATAGCACCGAATCTCCATGTTCTTCAATAATTCCCAATCCGTTGTGGTTGTTGTTCATAGTGACAATCGCAGCATAGGACATTCCGCCTCCAGCAGCGGGTGCAGCCTCTTCCTGATCGTCGTCTTGTCCGTCCTCTACCGCCATTTCCTCGTGTAAAATCTGCTCCTGCAGTTCCTCCTCCGATTCTCGTTCATCGTTCTGCTCGGCATCGGCATGCACCGGAACCGGAGTTGGTTGCCATTGTTTGAACTTCGGCACAAACACCGGGGCGTTGATCCACTTGAGAGGATCAATGGTGAAGCTGGTACTGGGTCCAGGTTCTGCCGCACTAGCAAACGACGGACCGGACAGTTCCGGTTCGACGTGTGCATTACGGCAGGACGTCCCGTAGCGACAGGTGCCCATCTTGAAGAACTTGCAAATCTCCTGCACTGCGGCGGCCGGTGACGAGGATCCCAGCGTCGACGAGGACGACAGTGACGACGACGATGATGAGGGACCAGCTACCGAAAGCGATGAACTGGCAACGGCAACCAGCAGGGCCGTCGGCGAGTCCATGGTCGTGTTTGATTTGTCTGAAATGGGACGGAGAGAGATAAACGAGTGTTAATGTCAACAAGAAAGGCTTTCTAGGGCAGCGCAACTGAAAATTCCGCTTGATACAACAACATTTTATGGTCCTTCGAACCGGATGTCACGATTAACGGTTGACTATGGAAGAACTGACGATCAAGCGGAACTCGAGAAGATGAAGTGGGAGCTAAATACGGCGAAACGCGTCCAGAGCCGGAGCCCTCCACTTTGTGAGGTTAGGGAACGCGTCGATCGGCTGCACCATCTCGGAAACAATTTTTCGACTTGCAGAGTGAAATCGAAGACAAAACGCCGTCATTGGAAGCGGTTTCATCGGTTTTCAACTACCGGACTGAGTTTGAGGAGTTATATTATGAAGCCAAATGTATCTACTCGCAGATGGAGGAAGGGTCTGTTGGTGGTGATGACAGGTTTGAGGAACCAACCAACAATCTACGGCATGCAGTTTCGGTACTGCTGGAAACGCAACGGTTGCTCCTGTCGAACCAAGCTGCAGTTTCAAGCCAAACGAGTGCGTTAACTGCCCAGCTAGGGGACTTTCGACAAGCATCACTTCGTGCCACTGCAGCTGAACCAATGCTCAACGTACGACTCCCTCCAATCAACATTCCTATCTTCAAGGGTGACCGCAAGGACTGGCGCTCTTTCAAGGACCTTTTTGTTAGTACCATTCACGACAAGGAGACGTTGCGTAACTCACAAAAGCTGCAGTATCTCCTTTCATACCTTGACGGTGAAGCTAAGGCATTGGTAAGCTCGTTTGCGATCACGGATGCGAATTACAACCAAGTGTGGGACAAGTTAGTGGAACGATATGATCAACATAAGTACACCGTTTTCTCGCTAGTAAAGGAATTCCTTGAACAGCCAGTCGTGTCATCTACGCACCCGAGCAGCCTTCGGAAACTAGTAACGACATCCGACGAAGTTATTAGACAACTGAGTGCCATGGGTGCCCAGTACGAATCGCGTGACCCGTGGCTCATTCACCTCCTTTTGGAAAAAATCGACAAGGAAACACGTTCTCAGTGGGCCACAAAAATCGTCGATATGCAGAATCCTACGTTTCAAGAGTTCCTGAAATTCCTCGAAAACCGTTGTGATGCCCTCGAGACATGTTCCTCGTTCACGCGGAAGATCTTTACGAATCCGGAAGCTACGAAAAAGGAAATTCGGAAGGATCAAGCGAAGCCGATAGAGAGGAAGTTTCAAAGCTTTCACATCGCACCCCAGCTGTGCCCGAAGTGCTCTTCAGAACAGCATCAGATCTATCAGTGTGACTCCTTCAAAGCCTTAAGCGTCGCTGACCGTAGGGAGTTAGTGCAGAAATCAAGACTGTGCTTCAACTGCCTCAGGCCGTCGCACTCAGTGAAGAATTGTTCATCGAAGTCTTCGTGTAGGGTCAATGGTTGCAATCAGCGACATCACACGCTCATCTGTCAACAGGGTGACAGCCAGGCAGCGCATTTAGTGCAAACACCGTCAATTCAATCGGCATACAGCTCACCGGCCTCAGAGCCAGCGGTACAGGAAGTTCGCTCAACGAATGAGGTCTCGAGCTTCAAAGCGGATGTACTTCCAACACAGTCGCCTACCAATATTGCGGTGCTACCTACGGCACTCATTAAGATTCGAGGTAAGAGTGGTTCTTTTCAGATAGTGAGAGCCATGATCGATTCCTGCTCCGGCGCGTCGCTGATCAGTGAAGCTTGTATGACGCGTCTCGGTCTCAACCGAAGCAATGCCAGGTTCGCTGTCACTGGGGTGGCAGGCGCCGCAGCTGGTACTACCAAGGGGATAGTACATGTGGAACTGTCATCTCGATTCAACGATGAAGTAATCCTGACTACTCAAGCATACGTTCTGGATGTTTTGACTACAACTATGCCAAGTCAGACTTTCGACGTAAAGCGAATGATGTTCTTGGAAGCGATCCCGTTAGCTGATCCGAACTTTTGGAAACCAGGAGAAATCGACGTCATTCTCGGAGTAGAGTTGTTCCTACCTATGCTCCGAATGGGTCAAATTACCGATGAAGATGGATTGCCAGTAGCACAGAACTCGGTGTTTGGCTGGCTGGTAGCTGGACGATTCGAAGGAGGGGCTTGTATTCAAACACATTGTACGTCCCTCAATGTCGACTCCGATGTCAACATCGACAAATCGCTGCGAATGTTTTGGGAGAGTGAAGAAGTTCCGTGGCAGAAGGTGCTCACAGCTGATGAGATCCGTGCTACTGAGATTTTCAAAACGACTCACAAGCGAGATGAAACTGGCAGATTTGTGGTTCGGCTACCATTTGACGAAACGAAAACTGCGCTAGGAGAATCGCTAGTGGCAGCCGTCAAGAGGTTGCATGCCATGGAGCGAAAATTTTTGGTGAATCCGACGTTTAAGCAGCAGTACGAACACTTTATGTCGTAGTATTTGCGTTTGGGCCACATGGAACCTGTCCCGGACGAGGAAATCGACAAGCAGCCGAACGAATGTTTCTATTTACCGCATCACGCTGTGCACAATGAAGATAGCTCAACGACTAAGTTACGTGTCGTTTTTGGCGGTTCATGTGTTAGTTCATCGGGAATCTCGCTCAACGATCGATTGCTTATTGGACCTAATAACACTGAAAACTTGCTGGATGTTTTGTCTCGCTTTCGTAGTTATCCAGTAGTGTTCACAAGCGATGCAGAGAAGATATATAGACAAGTATGGGTAGCTGAGGATCAAGTGGACTACCTTCGAGTGGTGTTTAGGAAGAATCCCGAAGATCCCATCCAACACTTTCGCCTGCTTACCGTTACGTTACGTACAAGCCGCTCGAGATAGTGCTGAAAATTTCCCGGTTGCTGCTGAAAGAATCCTCAAAGGGTTTTATGTAGATGATTTGATGTCTGGTGCTGACACACTAGAAGAAGCGAAGCAACTAGTCACCGAAATCTCAACAATTCTAAGCCATGCTGGATTTGTCCTTAGGAAATGATCGTCGAATTTACCAGAACTCGTCGAGGACATTAGTAGAGATGGCCCAATTCCTTTGCAGTTTACAAATGCCTCGGATTCTGTTAAAGCCTTGGGTATACGTTGGTCGCCCAGAGAAGACTCGTTCGACTTCAAGGTGTATCTAAACATCGATAGCAGCAACACCAAACGTCAGCTTCTGTCGGACGCATCGAAGCTGTTCGATCCTTTTGGGTGGCTTTCACCGTGCATCGTCAAAATCAAGATCCTGTTCCAGCAGCTCTGGTTGTACGACTTGACCTGGGATGACCTACTTCCCGCAGCAATTGAGGAAGAGTGGGTTGGCGTTAAAAACAATCTTCACCTGTTGGAAAAGGTCCGTATACCACGTTGGATTGTTAATCACGAAGGAAGAATGCAGCTTGTTGGGTTCTCAGACTCATCAGAGTCCGCATATGCCGCAGTAGTCTATGGCCGTTCGATTGATCCGAACGGTGAAGTACGAGTTACACTAATCGCCGCTAAAACCAAGGTAGCACCTATCAAGCAAATTACATTACCACGCCTCGAGTTGAATGCTGCTGTGCTCCTGACGACGCTGATGAAGAAAATCTCTTCTGCTCTCGATCACCTCAATCTGCAGATGCATGCTTGGTCGGACTCAACAATAGTACTAGAATGGTTATCATCGCACCCACGAAAGTGGAAAACATGTTGCCAATCGCACTGCAACCATCCTGAATGTACTTCCAAGAAGCTCATGGCATCATGTAGCTTCCGGAGAAAACCCAGCGGACTGTGCGTCAAGAGGAATAACGCCATCTGAACTCTTGGAGCACCCACTTTGGTGGACAGGACCTTCCTGGCTTTACAAGCAAGATGAATTCCTAGATCACCTAGTCGCACAACCTGCAATATGTGAAGCAAACCATCAAGTCACGATTTTAAATACCAATATTGTCCCAAGGAGTGATTTCACCATAGAACAGTATCTTTTGAATCGCTACTCTTCGATTCGAGTAGTATGTCGAATTCTCGCGGTTATCAACCGATTCATTTGTAACCTCAAATCTGTTCTTAGAGAAGACCGAAAAGTGGGAACAATAACTCCAACAGAACAACAAGCGTCTACCCTCAGCTAATACACATGGCTCAAAACGACGCATTCATCACCGAACTGACATGTCTCCACAAAGGAACCAACCTGCCCAGTAAAAGCAAATTACGCTCGCTACATCCTTTCATCGATGGAGAAGGAACACTTCGTGTAGGAGGAAGACTCCAGAACGCCAATATCCCCTACGAAATAAAACACCCAGCAATTCTACCAAGTCACCATCGTTTCACGGAGCTGATTATTCAAGACACACACCTTGTCAATCTACATGCAGGACCCACATTGTTGCTAGCTACACTCAATCAACGATTTTGGATAATTGGATGCCAGAACATGATTCGTCGTGCAGTACAGAACTGCCTCCCCGCATAAACGTGAACCATAAATTGACCTTACCTAAAATGGTTAAAAATTGTTTATAATCCCTGCTAAACTTTAACTGAAATGGTTATGGAACTTTACATGAACGTTTAATGATAAAGTTTCAACCTTATGTATTATGGTTTTTTGGAACTGGACCTTACAAATAATGGGTTGTTAAGAACCATTACCGTTCCAAATTCTTGTTTTCTCCATACATTTTCGGAAAGAGAACTATATTAGAACCTTTTAAATTATGGTTTGAGAACTTTAATGGTAATGGTTATGGTAGTCAGTAAGGTCCACGAATGGTTTTGTAACATCGATCAACTTTATGTGGAATATATCACGAATTGGTTGCCTGTAATTTACTGATTACCAATTCACGATATATTCCACGTAAAGTTGAGCGATAATACAAAACCATTAATGGACTTTACTGACTACCATTACCATTACCATTAATGTTCTCAAATCATAAGTAAAAACGTTCTTATATAGTTCTCTTTCTGAAAGTGTATGGAGAAAACAAGAATTTGGAATGGT